AAAAAAAAAAAAAACAGCAACGTTTAAAAAACGTTGCAAAAGAGGTCTCTTTTGCAACGTTTTTTAAACGTTGCCGTATCTCTTCCCTCAACAGCAACACCGAACTTTGCAACACACGCTAAAACGTTGCAAAAGGCCTTTTGCAGCGTTTTTTGGCCGTTGCAAAAGGCCTTTTTTGGTGTAGTGAATGTTTCAATCATTATTTAGAGAAGAAATAGATTCATCATTAACAGTAAGTTTACATGATGGAAGGATAATAAATTTAAATGACAAGTCATTTAGGAACCATAGAAGAAAACTTAACATATAGAAAAATGATATTTACTTGTTACCCAAAATATTGCATCTCATTAAAAGATAAAAATTTTAATGAATCTTAGGTTTGCATTTCAAGTTACAAAGGAATGATATAATGCAACCAGGAGAACAAATCATAACTATTGAATATAGAGCTTTATATACATTTACCAATTCTAATTATGAGAATATCTATTCTAAAAAATCATATATAGAAGTTTATAAGGAATGTAAAAGTATTAGTAAAACTATAGAACCAAATAAACAAGTAAATTTCATTACAAAGGAATATGAATTTAGGATATCAACGGATAAACCTGATATAATAGAGTTTAGGGAAGAAGAATGAAGAACTTGATAAAAAGTTAAAAAGATATGCTAAAAATTACTCTAACATAGTACAACTTAGAATGAAATTATATGATAAAATTTAAGAAAGAGGAAATACTAACCATGTTTAAACTACTATTGATTTATTATAGGATATACCTATTTCAAATAAATTACTACAAGAATATAAAATTAAAATTTAATCTAACTTTAGGATTTTATATATCTATAATAAATAATAGATAATATCTTTCTAAATTAAAAGAATACATAGAATACACAGAAAATAATAAAAAATTCTNTTTTCTAAATTAAAAGAACATTTAGAATATACAAAAAATGATTAGAATTTGAAGAATAAAAACAAGAAATTGAAGAATATACTAATTTATTGGAACAAATTAAGAATGAATTTGTTTAAAACTATATATAAGAGAAGGATATGTCTTGTAATAAATGAAAACCCATATCATTAGGGGTAATATAGAATTTTTAACCGATTTTATAAAAAGCTTAGTCAACCAGGCCAATCATAATAATGCCCCGTGTTGGTATGCTTTCTTATTGTTAGTTACTCTTGTTTTTCCTTTTTGGCATTGAGCACTTACATTTCTTGGAGCAACTTCCACATGTCTCGGACATTTTGTTATTACTATTTTGTTATGAGTAATTGTATAATATCACTACTGCTAAAATACCACGTCGCATTTCTAGCAATTGATAAATCCAATTAAATGAGTCTTACGACACCATATTTAATTGGAATTGTCATTTAATGTTATCAACATGTCACATATGATGATACTTTAGCATCAATAGTACTAGATATCATTATTCTTTCATTATATGTACCTCCACGTAGGACGTACCTACCACATCATAGCAAGCCTTTATGTTAAGCTTCATATGAACCAAAAGTGCTTCGCTAGAAGCAACTAGCTTCACGTTTTCTTAAAACCGCTCCATTAGAATCTGTGTACTATGTAACAGACCTCCTAACTATATAGAAAAGGATGAGTCGACCATAAGAGTTGAAGCTAAAAAAGGAAACCTATTTAACTTGAAGGAAATCTTCTTCGCATATTTCTTTCGACAACAGGAATGGCGGTTACGGCAAAGGGCACAAGATTTTCCTAAATAAGGCAAGAATCTTGAAACTATGTATTCCCTACTGTATAACATGTCTTATTTGGGGGAGGGATCGAGGGCATTTCTAGATCCCTAATTCCATGTAGCAAAGGGCTCACTGCCGGATGTAGAAAAATATATTATTTTTGGATAAATATTTTGTGCAGAGTTACAGAAAAAGATATGAAATATTATAACCCTAGCAAAAAAAATTTCCCGTTTGTTTCTCCCACATCCTCTTCAACAATTGATTTCACCATTGCAACGCAAACAGTTGTCTCACGTTTTAACAACACGAAGGAAGGCCTTTGCATGCTGACAATGTCTTAATCATATGTTTGGCAAGCGTTTATGTTTATAAATAAATAAAAGCTACTAATAGATAAATGAGTACTATTTATGAACCTCACGATATATTTTGACAAAAAATGATTTGACTTTTAGCAAGTGTTTATAAACACTAGCCAAGCATAGGCTTAGAGGTCCAACACGTGTACTAAATGTGCATGTTTGGCAAATCCCATTTTTTTAAATTCTAATTTTAATTGGTCAAATATATTTTTGAGAAATTATAAAAATTCAGGTGCTTAAAGTTTGGAATTCAAAAATCAGGGACTAAGTTTTATCATTCAAAAATCAGGTCTATAGAATAAAACCTAACCCTAATTTATCACTCAATTTCCCTCACATCCCTCCCTCTCGCCTCCCCTCTCCTCTC